AATCATGGGGGGGTTGCACCAAAATCAGGGGGTTTGCACCAAAATCATGGGGGGTTTGTGCCAAAATCAGAGGTATCCGCACCAAAATCAGGGGAGTTGCACCAAAATTGGGGGGTTTTGCACCAAAATCATGGGGGGTTGCTCCAAAATCAGGGTGGGTCGTACACAAAAATAGGGTTTTTTTCCCCACACCGGAAGTTTGTGCCGGTGTTTGGCCCTGTGGGGATGTTTTTTTGGGGGGACACCAAGGGAAACGGGGGCGTCTCACCCTGTGACAGGAGGAATCACGGCGGAGGAGGCGAAGAAATCAAGTTACCTGAACATCGTGGGCATGGTGGGCTCCATCGACAACGATTTCTGCGGCACCGACATGACCATCGGCACTGATTCGGCGCTGCACCGGATCATCGAGATCGTGGATGCCATCACCACCACGGCCCAGAGGTGACAGGGACCCTCCCGTGTCACCCACGTCGGGGGTGGGGACCACCCAGGTGTCCGCACCCCACTCAGGCTTGTTGTGGGGTGAAACTCCTGTCTCCTGCAGCCACCAACGGACCTTCGTGCTGGAAGTGATGGGTCGCCACTGCGGGTACGTCCCCGCGCTCTCACCCGGATCCGGATCCCGATAAAAAAAGTGACCAAAAAAACTCCAAACGGCCTCTTTTTCTAACCCGCTTCCAGCTACCTGGCGCTCATCACCGCCCTGGCCTGCGGCGCCGACTGGGTTTTCATCCCCGAGTCCCCTCCCGAGGACGACTGGGAAGATCACTTGTGCCGGAGGCTGACGGAGGTAGGACGGGCTCCAGTGGGCACTTTGTCCCCATCCCTGTCCCCATTGTCACCCCGCGGCTTCCCCCCAGACCCGTGTAGGTGGCTCGAGGGTGAACATCATCATCGTGGCCGAAGGTGCCATCGACAAGCACGGCAAGGCCATCACCTCTGATGACATCAAAAATGTGAGTGGGGACAAGGGGAGACACCCCAATTTTTTTATTCCCAGCCTTTTCCCGGCTCCGCTGCCGGGTCAGATCCAGGCAAATCCCTGTCTTGCAGCTGGTGGTGAAACGCTTGGGATAATGCAGCGTGGTGGGACACCCTCTGCCTTCGACCGCATCCTGGTAGGCAGCTCCTTCCCACCCCGGCCCTGGGGGAGCGAGGGTCCGGGGGAGGTTCAATGTCCCCGTCCC